TTCAACACATTCGTTCACACATACACACCAACACGCTGCATTTTCCAGATGAGTTCAATTTGTGGCAGCTTCGAAAAATGACCTTTTCAGGGAATCCAGGAAAGACCATTTTCTGAAATGAACAACCTAGATCATAGAGTCCATTGAAGTATTGTTTCAAGTAAGAATTTCATTTCACCAAATGTATAAAATTCATCATATCAGAACCTTCATAAAGAGTTATGCTTATTTTACTTTGTATTTTGATGATAACCCAAGAAACCCGACCACTTTTAGTGTGGTAAAACATATCATATTTGATAACAGCAGGATTGCATTGTTCAGATGTTAGTCGGAATACAATAATTCGTCACAGTCGAAATTGGAAATGATATATCATACATTTCACATACGTCTGAGCGCAGACTGTGCCGAACAACTCACAATACAAAAGTCTTTGTATCAAGGGAAAGGTTCATGATTTACTTGTAAGCGCAGTACTAACAGTTTTCCCAGGCCAAATGCAGGTCAACTTTCTTGGGGAATCAATAACCGGGGCATATGACTAACCGAAACCGGACCCAAAAGGCAGCGGAGCAAGGTGTGGAATGGGTAAGCTATCGGAGACCAGTGTGCGTTCATTGGACCATACGTCCTTTGTACGGGATCAAACGTCCAAATCATGATTTCAAATTCCAGGACGTGAGGTGTCCTGATGATAGCATGTTCTGTCCTGGGACTGACTCACCTGCGAGTTAGTATTGTTATTGTTTTATCCGTTCCGAAATTATCGTGCACTAATAGACGGGGCCATTTTAGTCCAGAATGCATCATGGACATCAAACCAACAATAAAATTGCCGTGGGTTTAAAATACATGAAAGGAGAAGTTTCTAATTAAAACTTAAATCATTGAATGGAGTGGGAGTTTTATAATCAAACAACAATCGAGTTGAACTGATAAGAGCGGGGAAAATCCACCCACATTACTGTTGAATAAGAAGGGAAATTTTTGTGTAAACCATGGAATTTGTATATATTATCATGTATGTACGCGTGTCACCCTCCTAACTGGTTGGTTGTGGTTGTATTTGTATTGAAAATTCTATTAGTCCAGAAAAATATACACATAAGGCAGAAAACGAACCCCTTGAAAAATCTTTGAATATAACAAAGGAGCATAGTGTGCAAAAGACGTACTGAGAAAAGTTATTTTCTGCCGTCGAGGTTAGAGCAAAATTCTCCTTAAACTTTCATGTTGTTGGCCTAAAAATGACGTACAATGTTGTTTGTGAATCAAGCTAAACCATCATGCGAGAGTGACTTAGTCCGTATTGAGTTTGATCCTAATGGATTTGAAGCTGATGCAGAATAATCCTGATGAACTCTATTGGTGTTGACGGCATGCATCTTTTCCGCAAGCATCTTAATCGTTTCAGTGTGATTATCGTGAGGTAATTTGATAAGGGAGATAACGGGGGTAATGGAGAGAAACGTGGGTAGAATACACTGTATTAAAGCAAAACAATAACGGTTGTTATGACTTCAAACTGTCTTTTACTTTCAATTCCAAAAGCCAGTCGTTGGAGGNGTTTTAATGTGTAATCAGTGAGTAAGCATCTTTCTCAGTACCCTTCGTCAGTGGCCGGCACCCTCTTTTATCTCTCAAGGTTCGAAGTGTTTGCAATAGCTTGCCCTGAACTTTTGCACTTCATATTTCGTTCATTTGGGAGAAATTGGTGGATTTAAAATAAGTTCAAATAAAATTTCTCTTTTGTGTAGGGTGAAATAGAGTGCACGTAAAATTTTATAGCATCCTATACAGAATCTGATGTTCTATGCACTAGAACTCAACTACTCCATAATTGATTTTGAATAAAAATCAAGACGAAAATTTATTTATCAGAGCCATCCACTTGAGACAAT